GTCAATTTGGGCGAATTTGCCGTTAGTTTCAACCTGATGCGGCATGATGCATTTTAATAGGGTTTCTTTATGTTCTATCTGCCCCAGTTTCACATGGTTCGGGCTTCAAATGATCTCAAAATGTCCAAATCTGTTCTTATTTCCCTCAAGTGCCCCTATCATCTTCCCAATTGCTTCATGATTGAACTAACCTTTAAGATTAGGCCTAGAATTATGCGTGCATGTCATGTCACTAGAACCAACATGAAAAGAACTATAAAGAGGAGAGAACTAAACAAAAGAAAATGACTAGAAATAACAGAAAACGGGAAATTGCATTAGACGGTGAAACAGTTCGAACAACAAGACAAGCAAACTAAACTGGGGTTACAACCCCGGAACAAACCTAGACAACACTAACCGAGTTACTACGACTAAACAAACCAGGCAAACATAAAAGGATAGAAGGGTTTGAGTCACAAGACAATATCCGAATTACAACCCTGACATAACCCGGACAACAGAAATGACAACAAAATAAACCACTAAGACTCCTCCCTGGCTAACCAAGAAAGGAATATCTTTCCAATTACCACGCTTGGCATCTTAGCCACTGAGTTCCGTATCAATATTGCCAAGACCATTACCAACTTCAACATCATCAGTTTTAGTCAATACATTCCCAAGAGGATTCGCATGCTCCCTGTCACTGTCATTGATCACAATTACCCCTTCTTGAATCATTCTTTCTATTTTCTTTTTCAAAGAACGACAATTCTCAATGCTATGCCCTTGGACATTAGAGTGGTACATGCATCGTATAGTATGATCAAAGCCTTTTGCATATGGGTCTGGAGTATAACCGAGGAGCGGCTCAATCAGGCCAGAACGCTTTAACTTTTCAAACAAATTTGTATAAGATTCTCCGAAAGCATTCTCTTTTTTCAGTAGTCTTTTTATTTTATACTCTAGCCTCGGTTGGAACCTTTTGCGGGCAAGTGGTTGATATGCCTGAGGAGGCGAATGAGATATTTGTGGACGCGGCGCAGACCATCGCGGGCATTGGGGATGTGGAGCATATGGTGGTGCATTGTGGACAGGATATCGGGGAAGTGATGTACGATTTCGGGGGTTCTGTGGAGAGAAGTAGCAGTCGGGAGAATTAAAAGGATATCCACGGGGTTGATATGGAGGCTGAGAGCATTTAGCAAGAACGACCACTGGACCTTGTCGTTGGCGGGGCTCAACAACATCTTTTTGTCCATGGGAAGATTATCCTGAGCAACTTGTTCGCTCCATCTGAGCCAAAATTTCCTAAAACATTCTTTAGGTTTCTTTTCTATCTGAGATATGGAGGAGTGGTTTGGGACAATGTCTGTGTTGTTCTGAAAGTGTCGCACAAAATCCTGGGCCATGTCATCCCATGTATGCCACGTACCGACATCTTGACGATTATACCATTCCAAAGCTGCCCCAGTCAAGCTCTCACTGAAATACGCCATCAACAAATCATCTTTCTTGCCAACATTTCTTATTTCACTGCAATAATCCCTCAGATGGGCTACCGGATCTCCACACTCATCATTCAAGTTGAACTTTGGTACTTTAAACCTTGCGGGCAAGCGAACATCAGGGAGTGTACACAACTCTTGGTAAGACATGCTGCCTTGGTCTCCCGTCCCTTGTACGTTCTTTAAGGACTGTTCTATGTTCTTCAGCCTCCCAGAACTTGGAGGAAGAGTGATGGAGATAATAGGGTGATTGGGAGATGCCAAAGTTTGGGTAAGGGCATCATCTGAGAAACTAGGTGGTGGCGGTATTGGTACCTTCCCAACCATCCAAGCCTAATACATGTTTGTTATGTGCTATCTTAACATCCTTGCCTCATTAGCCAAGCCAGTGTCCTGTTCAACCAACCGCTTTTGGGTACCGATATCAACCAACCCCATTTTGTTGTTATCTGCCATTGCCTTTTCGGCTTTTATGTTGTGGAGAGGAGTTACTACTTTGGGAACCACAAACCAACCACTTTTCTGGATATTGAGAATGAACAAAATGGGGGCATCGTGTTAGTGTTAGGGCTTTTAACAGATAGACAAACACACATTAAAGATGTAATGCACCTAAGCAGTTAACCATTTCTATTATGCATTTCCTTGGTTGCTTGCGTCATCCCGTCTTTTCCAAATTATAACCTCTTTGACACTCATATATTTCTTTATTTGATTCTCTTTTTTTTAATTTGTTTTTTTAGTTGTGGTCGAATCTTATGGAGATTGCCTACGTATCATGACCCCGCATGAATCAGACCGGGCGTAGTTCTGACAGATAAGTGCAAAATGACTTTTTTTTCAAATTTTCCATAAAAGAAAAATGTGTTTATTACAACGACACATTTTATTACCATATTAATAGACTCTAAAAGACTCTAACATCAAGATGGCAATACAGCCTAAAAATAGACTAACAGACTCTGACTGACAAATACAGACTTTTTTTTTAAAAAAAAATCATTACTATTTCTCAAAAATTTTCATAAAAATATTCGGTTTTGTCAATACGGCCTTTCGGCACTTCGAAGAAGATTTAAAGGCTGTGTTTGCTAACCGGCAAAAAAAAATTTGAGAAATGACCAAAGGTGGCTGTTCTCGCAAAAACGGCCTTCCGGCGTCCTTTTGGGGAAATTCGACTATTTTGGACAAGAATGGCATTACCTTTACTTATGGAAAAACAACGACATTTATTTACCCCTAAATTTTTTTTTTGTTTTTTGTCAAAATAGTTGAACCTGATATGGGTTGCCTACGTATCCCACATCCGGTGAGAATCAAACTTACGTAGTTCTGCCAGACTTGACGAAAATAAAACCAACTATTTTTCAAAAAGGAAAATAGAAAATTCTGGCAGAGCTTTGCTATCGTTTTATTTTTCAAATCCTGATTTTTCCCTAAAAAGAATAATTATTTCCCTCATTTTTTTATTCATTTTTTTCTTAATTCTCCTCTCATTATTCAAAAGCTGGTCAACATGCAACTCCGAAGCAAATAAATGCACAAGTAGCAAGTAAGATGCATCAGGATGGTCTTTTTATTTCGGGTACACCTGTCCTAGACAGACCCAACCCCTGTATTGAGTCTCCAAGGTCAAATGCACGTGATGCAAACAAACGTTCCTACTAGGGATCCGGCATGAGGCTTTGCTATTCTAGGTTTCAAACCCTGGGTTTATTGTTCTAGACCTGGATTACCCGAGCGGACAGCTCGAGCCAAAGCGGGGGTAACGTACCGGGAGCACGAAAGTCTACCCGGCCTAGTTACTTGACCCAACCTCGTTCTAATTGGTATGACTTCTAACATAAAAGTGGGCCGCGCGCACGTGTGCACCATAAATTCAGAAGACTCAGAGAGAAGAAGGGTTCCTTAACAGTTTATATGCAATTCAGCAATATCAAAGCACTAAAAAGCAACATTTAGCACATTAGGCCCAAATATGTAAATAAAATCAGATAATAAATAAAGCCAAATACAACAATTATTCCAAGCTCGAATTTCTAACCCTGAACTAGTGGTTCTGGGTTTTCCTCCCCAGCAGAGTCGCCAGAGCTGTCACATCTCCTTTTTCCTACACCCCCGGAAGGAGTATAAGGGAGTTTTTCAAATTAAAGGACAATCGAAACGGGAATATTTATTTATTAAAAATTCAGAGTCGCCACTTGGAAGATTTATGGTGTCCCAAGTCACCGGGTCAAATCCCAAATCGAGGAAAAGATTGACTCTATTTACGTCTGCGAACACAGAAATCCGGGTAAGGAATTCTGTTAACCCGGGATAAGGTGTTAGGCACTCCCGAGTTCCGTGGTTCTAGCACGGTCGCTTTGATCATACTTGGCTTATAAAATTATTTAATTACTGATTTTGGAATCTATGTTTATTTACATCTTTTATCGCTTTTAATTAAGAAAAATTATCTTGGAACGGGTTACGCGTACGTATACCCGCTTGTTTGGCGCGTCAAAAATCATGTCACACGAACGTGTCCAAAATTAATAACGCTTTATTATTACTAAAAAAGTTTGGGCCGAAGTTGCGCGAACGCCTCCGGTTTTGTTTTTAGAATCGCAATTATGTTACACGGACGTATTCATAACCACAATTGTGTTTTAAACGACCCTAAAGACTTTTCTACGAATATTAGTTATTCTTAATATCTAGGTTATAAAGTTAATACGAGGGCCACGCAATTATCGTTTTGTTCAACATGGCACATCTCGATTTACTCTAAAAAAAATCTAAGTTAAATTTGGAGGGCCATAAACTATTGTTGTTGTCCGATGTAGCACACCTCCACTAATTTACTCTTAAAACCCAATTACTTAAGTAAAGAGCTTGCAAGGCTTCTACAAATCACCATCACATAACAACCACCAAGTTAAAGGGTCATAGTTATTTATTCAACTGGTATGACAGCCTATTTTAAAGAAAACTAACCACAATTAATTTGTAATATTAAGGAACTGGGCCAGTCTTAAAGCGGAATTAGACCAGCCCCGACTAACAGCGAAGAGCCCTGCTTTGAAGCAAATAAAAAGCACATGTGGCAAGGCCTACCACGTTCATTTCCCATTAATTTTAAAGACCATGGGCCCAAGTTGAGCCCAAGCAGAAGGCCCAAATTCTCTAAAGCCTCAGAACCACTATCAAGGAGACTCAACATCGAGTCCGTATCGTGCTTAGGTGAAGGCTATACAGCAAACAAATTCAGAATGAATCCAAGTAGCTAGTCTCAAAATTACCAACATACAAACAATGCCATGATTTCGAAGGAAGAAAATATTAAGGATCCAGTTCTTTGAAGAACTATACAGCATACAACCTTAATTTTCTAAGACCTTAAGTTAACTTGCAACATCGATGTTTAAACCTTACTTAAACCTCACGTGAACAAACTTGTAGGACTTAAACCATGTATTCAAGCAACCAAACATATTTCTAGATAAATACTGAATCATTTTAACACAATTATGCTGAATTGAATAAAGCTGACTATGATAATTCCCAGTAGGTTAAGTTCTGGTTTTTCATGAGTTTCAAAGAATCGTTCCAAAGGACATTTAAAGCACATTCAGGAACAAATACAAAAATAGAACATGCCTGGCAAACTAGTATCACCTACTGTCAGACATACATATCCAGCTGCTTATGCCTATGACAATTGAATATACATAGCATTAAATGTGTGGATGAATAACTTGATCAACAGGCAAAATTACATATCTATTGCAGAACACTAAAGTAACAGGGGGATCAAAAGGAGTTAAGCTCAAAGCAGCATGTATTCAACCAATCCTTGAATTTACATATTTCTACAATCACTTGCTACTCAAGGCTAAGAAAGTACCTGGAATTGAAAAGGCAAAGGGAAGAGTGAGGAATCAGCAATATTAAGCGCATAAATCAACAACAACAAAAGAACAGCCCAGATTCAACTCAAAATCCCAATGAAATCAACTCATAAACCAATGAAACAGTAACTCTATTGTAGAATTCAACCCAGACTTTTCAAAAGAAAACAAGTTCCTCAATGATTCAGAGATTGCTTCAGCCAATTTGAGATTGAAAATCGGAAAAATAAAAGAAATAAGAAGTTTGTAGCCTTTTGTATCTTCTGAAGGTATTTTATCTATGAAGTTATCTTCCAGTCTCTTGTGTTTTCTAAGAGGTATATTCCTAGACTCTTGTCTGTATTTTTAGTGTATTCCCTCTATGTCTTCCTCTCAACTCTTAAAAACTTCAGCCTATATTCTTGGTTCTGTCTTCTTTTAATCTTGTCCCTCCCTTTTCCAGACTGTATATCCTTTTACACCTGTATTTTTAGCCTTTTAATCACACCCCCATGTTCTCTGATTTCCAGCTCCTAAAATGGCATTAAGCCAGCCATTACCAGTCCCCATTTCATTTTTTAATTCATTCACTACTTAGTACCTTTTTCTTTTATTAGTTCAGTAGTGCAAATACTACACCCTACCATTATGGAATCTTCCTAAGTAGGTAAACACTTAAATAATTCCCACTGTTATCTTAAAGTTTCTGCTTTTAAATTTGAAATTCATGGACCAATGCTGAACCCAATTCACATCATTTAAGGCTATTCAATCTTTATACAAACAAAATCTACCAGCAGACTGCCTAATAGCTCTCAATACTGGAAAAAAAATGAAACAATTTCAATCTTTCATCGAAATTAGCATGAATCAATTCAAGAACTACTATTATGCGAGTTTAAACTACTGATCAACAAAACAAAAACCAAATGAAATCAACAAATAATCTATTAATTCGAGAATAAAAAAAAACTAAAAAAAATCATAGAACAAAACTGACCAAATAAACATTCTAATGAAAGAAAGGAGTAGAAGAAGATAATAACAAAAGAAAATAAAAAAAAATTAAAACTAGGACACCTACCTCCAAATGATTGAACCTCGTCTTGAATTAGACCTTCGATTTTTGAGTTTGTAGCCGGAATAGACCTTAATCGAGTGTTCTTGACTGAGAACACACAACTAAGGTAGATTTCGACCTCAAACTTTCAAACATCTAATCGATTTGGAGTTTGGGATTTTAGGGTTCGTTTCTTTAGATCCAGATTCGAAGGGTTCTGGTCTGATTCGTGGGAAAGGGATTGTAGATTAGAGTAGAGGGGGGTGAGGTGATTTGGTGGTGAACGGAGCCGGCGCCGCCGGCTTAAAGCGGTGGAATTTTATGGCGACTCCGTTTAGTGTTTGGGGGTTGAGGGAGACGGGAGTGAAGTGGACGGCCCCAGCAGGGTTGAGGGGTATGTGATATATTAAAATTATTGATTCAATCAGGGCCGTTAGATGATTAGAATCCAACGGTTCTGATTGAATCACTAATTGAAACGGGGTCGTTTTAATCGAGTGGGGTTGGACCGGTTTGGGGACGGGTCGGGTTGTGGGTGAGAAGGGTAGCGGTTGAGGAATCTGGACCGTTGGATATGGATGGACGAACGGCTGAGATTCGTTGACATCGAAACGACATAGTTTCATTACCATACTACGTCGTTTCACTAGCATGGGTGAAGGGCTTCTTGGACCGGGTTTTGGGTGTGGGTTTGGGCCAATTCTGCCGGGTTTTGGGGCGAAATCGATTGGGCCTGGGGGAGAATTAAATGGATTTGGCCCAGTTGAATCTTTTCTTCATTCTTTCCCTTTTCTCTTTTAATTCTTTTTTTTTCAAAATTACAAATAAAATTCTATATTAAATCATAAAACCAAATCAGCCTATCAAAAATACTAATTAACTCTAAATAATAGTTATCACAAATAGCTAAATACCAAATTAAAAGAAAAGCACAAAATTTGACTTTAAAACTAAAAGGCGAAGTACGTTATTTTTCGTGGTTTCATTTATTGTAAAAATAACAATTTACTTAATTAATCTAAAAAATGTAAAATCAAATCCTAAATGCAGACACTATATATATATTTTTTTTGTATTTGTCAATGCATTAATAGAATTAAATATGCACACAAATATGCAAACAATCAGGAAAATTGCACAGTAATTTCTAGAATAACACATAATTAAAGAAAAAGATCTAATTTTGGAATTCTTTTGGAATAATTCATGTGAGGCAAAAATCACGTGCTCACATGTATGGTCATTCAATCTTCGTTAACAAATTGAAAAAACCGAAAAATGAATGAACTTTGAGACTCACAGCCAAAGCGACAAACTAAAGAGAAAAGAAAAAGAAATAGGAAAACCGAAGAAGATACCTGACAGTAGGTCTGAATACGAACGGTGGCAGCAAGCCGGAGAACAGAATAGAGAAAGAGAGAGGAAAGACAAAAGTTAAAAGAGCAAAGAATCGGTGTAGAAAGAAACAATATTGTTTTTGTAGCGGCGTTTCGTTTTGCGTGCTTTTTTGGTCTTTTGATAGTGAAAAATCAGAGGAAAACCCGAAAATTCCTAGAAAAAGATAAATGCAATTGATGCTTAAAGAGAAGTGCCACGTATCCGTGTGTATGGCCCTCAATTTTATATATATATATATATATATATATATATATATATATATATATATAAATTTTAATGTGTATTTCTAAACCCAAAGGTTTATATTAAATGTTACTAATATTTTTAGACTCTGTTTCATCAAGTTATCAAAAAATGTTAATTTTTCGATCTTGTTTGACCAATATTTTCCAAAAGAGCTTTGAATATCAAATATCGATAAAAGACACGTATCAATGTCCATTTTATAATTCGGATAATTTAAAAGAGAAATTATTTTGAATATTAATTATGAAAGACTTTACTTAAGTTTTTTATTTAATTAAAATATAAACGGATAATTGAGAAAAATACTCTCTTCAAAACCTCTCGGCGCACGTTAACGTGGACCAGCTAACGTGCGCTTGGAAGCCATGGGAGGGAGAGGCAGACCAAAGAAAAACAAGCAACGGAACGCGGTGGAGGAACAACGATCATCGGAAACTAGAAAAGCAGTACTTGAGCTGTTTGTATTACCAAAAGGAGTCCGAATTGAAGACCTAGCTGGAAATCTCACCCCGAGGAACATGCAGAGTGAGATGAGCAAAGAGGAAACAGATCCATCGGGGAGTAGGGACAAACTGAAGACAATTGCAGCTACACCTGCAACTAATCAAGCTTCTGGAAGTGGATCTAGGAATGGGAAAGCTCAAGAGAAAACAAGGAAAATTAGCAGCAATGGAACAGTACCATGCAATAGTGGTACTGTTGAGAAACACAAAAATGATGAACCATCGGAAGCCAAATCGAATCAATCATGGGTAAATGTGGTCGCAGGAAATAAGCTTGCTATGAAGGGTATTAATTTGCAGTTTGTGGCACCAATTGTTCAAAATGGAGAAAAAATAGCAAAATTAGAAGCTGAAGATGTTGAGCAGGAGAATGAAAAATGGAGATCTGCAATTGTCCTATATGTGATAGGGGATTCACCTACTATTGGAGCCATGGAAAGATTTTTGAGCTCAGTGGGTAAGTTCTCAAGGAAACCACAGATTTACTACCATAATGAGGGATACTTTGTGATTAGATTTAGTAATCTGGAGGAAAAGGATCAAATACTGTACTCTAGGCCTCATACAGTGAACAATACGCCTATAGTTATGAAGGCATGGACTGAAGACTTCAATGTACATGATGAGGTGTTGAAGACGATTCCATTATGGGTAAGATTTCCCAATTTTCCTCTCAATTGCTGGAGCATGAAAGCACTAAGCAAGATAGGAAGTACTTTGGGGAACCCAGTGTATGCAGATGAATGCACCACTGAGACTGTGAGAATCTCTTATGCACGTATGTTAATTGAAATGGATATAACTAAACCTCTGCCTAGATGTGTGAAAGTACAGGATCCTAAAGGGAAACTAATTCAGCAAGAGGTTTCCTATGATTGGGAACCAACATATTGCTCTAAATGTCTGAAAATAGGACATGATTGTGCTGTGATAAGGAAGGAACAACCACAAAGAGTTGCCCAACAAAAGAAAGCAGCTACAGGCAAACAGGTATGGGTAAGAACAGATAGGAATGGAACTAATGAAAAGAAAGAACCAGACCAAAAGGCAACAACAGAAGCACCCCAGCAGGGTGAGTCAGCACCAGCAGAGAATGAAGTACAAGAGAGGGATGAAGGGTGGATTACAGTACTTGGCAAATCATCAGCAAGAGTATCTAAGGCTAAACAAAATGAGGAGCAGGGAGTTACAGGAAAGCAAGAGGCTCAAAGCATGCATAACAGAATCAACTGTGATGTACCGGGTACACTCAAAATGCAAATGAGCTGTCTAGGGGAATAGGAGATGTAATATAAACCTCTTTTCATACCAATATGAGTGTGATAACTTGGAATGTTAGGGGTTTGAACAAAACATATAAGCAAAAGGAGGTGAGGGAGTTTATAAGAAGTAATAATAAATCTATAATAGCATCAGTTGAGCATAGAGTAAAGGAGCATAGAGAAATTGATATAACAAAAAAAAATAGCACATGGTTGGCAATGGATATCAAATGCTAGTTCAAACAATAAAAGTAGAATATGGGTACTATGGGATCCTATAATTTATAAATTTGATGTGGAAGAGGTTGATGAGCAGTTGATACATGGGCAGATCAGTATTATATCAAAGGCAATCACATTTGGCTTTTCAGCAATATATGGGCTGCATAATATAAAAGATAGGCTAAGTTTGTGGAGGAAATTAAGGCAAATTCATAGCACACAACAGGGACCATGGCTAGCAATGGGGGACTATAATGCTATCCTACAGGCACAGGATAGACAGCATGGTACTGAGGTGCAAGATATAGAAACGAGAGACTTTAAGGAGTTTCTGTTTGATACTGGAATGCATGAGCTTCTATATGTGGGAAGGAACTATACATGGACCAATAATCACACTTACAGTAGAATAGATAGGGGTCTGGTTAATGCAGATTGGATGATGATGATGCGTAATATGAAAGTGCAGGTGCTAGAACCTCTAGTATCTGATCACTCACCTTTAAAGTTAATGATAGTACAAGTGCAGGGGAGGAAGAATAGACCATTCAGATTCTTAAACTGTATAGCTGACCATCACCAGTTCCTACAGAAAGTGGAGGAAGCCCAGGAAGAAAGGAGTAAGAGGGTATGATGCAAATAGTATGGAACAAGCTTAAGAGGGTGAAGGAGGCTATCAAATATATCAACACAAAACATTACAAAGGAGTAGATGAGAGAATAAAAAGGATCAGGGAGGAGCTCCAGTCAACTCAGGAAGAAATGAGCTCCAAGCTATAGAGGCAAGAACTAATTGAGAAGGAAAAAGCTCTGAAAGGTGACCTAGAAAAATGGATTCTGATTGAGGAAAGCATATACAGACAGAGATCAAGAGTACAATGGCTTAAGCTGGGAGATTCAAATTCAGCTTATCTTTTTGCTCAAATGAAGAACAGAAGTAATCTGAATGGGATTCAAGTCTTAACTAATGACATGGGGGTCCAGTTAGTGTTGGAAAATGATATTGAGGGAGAAATCATGGGGTACTACAAGAAGTTATTGGGTTCAAGTGCTGAAAGTATACCAGCTATTAATCCAAATGATATGAAAATGGGGCCAGTGTTGAGCATGGAGCAACAATTACTACTAGTCAAGCAAGTGTCCAAGGAAGAGATATGGGAAGCAATGAAGGATATAAATGATCTTAAAGCTCCTGGGTATGATGGGTTAAATGCTGTCTTCTTCAAGAAATCCTGGCCAATTATTGGGCAGGATGTAATAAAGGCTGTACAAGAGTCTTTGAGTCAAACCAAATGTTTAGACCTATCAACTGCACTGCCATTACCTTAATACCTAAAGTTAAGAATCATGCCAGTATCAAAGATTATAGGCCTATTTCATGTTGTACAGTTTTGTACAAAGTGATATCAAAGATCCTTACCAAGAGACTTCAGGGTGTAATGGATTTTCTGATTGATAGTTCACAGGCAGCCTTTGTTCCTGGCAGAGTAATAACAGACAATATTATTCTGAGTCATGAACTGGTGAAAGGATATAGGAGGAAAGGGGTATCACCTAGATGTATGATGAAGCTGGATATGCAAAAAGCATATAACTCAATAGAATGGGACTTTATGGAGCAGATATTACATGCACTAGCCTTCCCAGAACAGTTTGTAAGATGGATCATGACATGTATGAGAACTGTAACTTATACAATCATGATAAATGGTGCACTAACTAAATCATTTGATGCTAGGAAGGGACTGAGGCAAGGAGACCCACTCTCACCCTTTCTATTTGTGCTTGCAATTGAGTATTTGACAAGGAAGCTAAAGAAGCTGGCAGGAATTCCAGACTTCAACTTCCACCCCAAGTGTGCTAAGATGCAAATCTTACAACTTAGTTTTGCTGATGATCTTTTACTATTTTGCAGGGGAGACATTGGATCAGTCCAGTTATTATTTCAATGCTTTATGGAATCCTCACAGGCATCTAGACTAATGATCAATAAGAACAAAAGTTCAATTTTCTTTGGAGGAGTCACACAAGAAGAGCAGGAGAAGATCCTAGAATTTCTAGGAATTCAGAGAGGATCTTTACCAGTTAGATATCTTGGTGCACCATTGAGCTCCAAAAGAATATCTATAGCACAATGGCAACTACTCATTGACAAAATAATGGGAAGAATTACCTCTTGGACTGCAAAGTTTTTGTCATACGCAGGAAGGATTCAGCTCATTAAAAGTGTTCTGTTCTCCATTCAGACTTACTGGGCCCAAATATTTGTACTACCAAAGAAGATCACAAAGCTTATTGAGGCAATATGCAGGAGTTTCTTATGGACTAGAGAAGGGACATTGTCAAAAAAGCTCTACTAGCATGGGAGAAAGTATGCCTTCCTAGATCTGCAGGTGGTTTCAACATCATGAATATAGCAATCTGGAATAAAGCTGCCATATGCAAGCAGTTTTGGAACTTATGTAAAGAAAAGAAGAAACTATGGGTACAATGGGTACATGGATACTACATTAGAGGAAGAAACATCTGGACAATGCAGATAAAGCAAGCTTCATGGATGGTAGGAAAGATCATGAAGGCACATAAGCCTATGATGGAAGCAGGATTCAACCAGGATGACATTACAAATATGAATAGTTGTTCTATCAAACAAATATATCATAGGCTTCGAGGCACGTTTGAGAAAGTAAGTTGGAGGAAAGTAGTTTGTCACAATGGAGGCTGTCCCAGATGGAACTTTGTAGTAACTATGACAACACATGGAAGATTATATACAAAGGATAGATTGCAAAGATGGGGAGTGGCAGTTGATCAAGAATGCATCCTGTGTAACAATGACAAGGAAACCATACAACACTTATTCTTTGAGTGTTTATACGCAAAAGCATTGTGGAGCAAACT